GGAACCTTGCACTGACCCAGGGAAGGCAGAAATTAATCCACGTATCTATAGTTAACACTCTTTAACATAGCTGTAAAAATTATATACATTAGTTGGGGCTAGAGACATGGCTCAGTGGTTAAGTGTGCTGCTCTTACAGAGGACCCGAGTTTGGTTCCCAGCACCCACATCAGGCAGCTCCCAACCACTTGTAACTCCAGCTCCAGGGAATGTGATGCCTCTGACCTTTGCAGGTACCTACACACCACACACACCACACACACACACACACACCACACGCACACACGCACACCACACACCACACACCACACACGCACACATGCACACACACACACCACACACACACCACACACCACACACGCACACGCACACGCACACCACACACACCACACACACCACACACACACACGCACACACGCACACACACACACACCACACACACACATACACGCACACCACACACACCACACACCACACACCACACACACACACTAGGACCGGCTTCCAGAGAAGTTTCAGTTTCTGTTTTTCTTATTTTCAGTGTTTAGATCAGTCCTGGAATGGTTTCCAAGAAGTCCAAGCTATTTCAATAACCCGGAAATCCCCGGGCTGGGATGCAGCTCAGCGGGAGAGTCTTCGCTTAGCAGAGAGAGGGTCCCTGGGTTCTGTCCCCAGCTATTATCCACACACACGCACACACACACGCACACACACACCACACACACACACACGCGCGCGCGCCTTGAAATTGAAAGTGCAGATCTCCAGCACCTGCTAGACTTGCCCTTAATTGCCCCTCCCCCTACTCACACACGCGTGGGGCTGTCCGGGTTCACCAGGTGATCCAAGAGCGGAGGGGTGGGGAGGGACACTTAGACAGAGAGTTGAGGCCAGGAGAGACCCGAGTTCTCCGTGTGACCTTGGCCAGGCGCTCTGCCTCTCTGGACTTGGCTGCTCTGCACAGGAGGGGTCCGCGCCGGGTTAGGACCAGGCGGGGTGGGGCGCAGCGGCCTCGGGCCACCTGGACAGGTGTGCGCCCCGCCCCGGGGTCGGGGGGGTGGGGGAGCGGTTCCCCGGCAAAACCCGTGGCTCCCGGGCGCACTCGGCGGCCGCGCCCCAAGGGCAACCCGCATCCAGCATCCGGACGCCTGCGGCCTCCCATTGGCCCGCGAGGCTCTGCAGGGTCGCCCCGCAGCCAATCGCAGCCGAAGGGCGGGGCCTCGCCGGTCCAGGCGCGCTGGGGGCTTGGGCGGATGCTCCTGTGCCGCAGCAGGTCCCGCTGGTGCCCGAGTGCCCGCGCCAGCCATGCAGGAGCCTCTGCTGCGAGCTGAGGGCCTGGACTATGACACCTTCCCCGAGACGCCCGCGTCGCCGGGAGAGAGGACGCGGACCGGGTGAGAGTCGCGGGGCGTGTGGCGGTGGGGGCGGGGGTGGGATGGCCAGTCTTCTCCAGGCCGGCATGCGCCCTGGGCCAGCCCTGACCTCTAGCGAGTGGCCACAAGGAGGCAACTGGCTCTTTTTCGCCAATTCTATATCAAGGCTAGTCCCTCATGGCAAAGGGATCACCCAAGGGAATGCCAGGCCGGGTGTTCACCTGTTCCAGAGGGGGTGAGGGCTTGCCTCTGGTCACACCGTCAGCCTTCAGCAGTGGAGCTGTGGACAGAACCCACGCACGACTCCCTTTCTGGAGAAAAGGGCCTCCGCCCAACTCACACCCTGGGAATTTCCCATAGTGGCTACTCAGGCCTTACAGAGGTGCCAACTTGAGCCTTTGGACCCAGGCTTCCCCCATGCTATCTGCCGAGCTGGGCAGCCATGGGGTTAAGTATGCAGCCGTCTGGGGACCCAGAGTCTAGGAGGATCTAACCCTGGGCCTTTTGTCCCACCCCATCCCCTACCAGGGCCTTGCAGAACAGAAGGGTGTTCCTGGCCACCTTTGCTGCTGTGCTGGGCAATTTCAGCTTCGGGTACGCCCTGGTCTACACATCTCCAGTCATCCCAGCTCTGAACCTTTCCTCAGACCCTGCGCTACACCTGAACAAAATCCAGGCATCCTGGTTTGGGGTGAGGCTTGTGCTCTGAGCTCGAGGGGCTGGTAGGGGCATGGATCCACTGAACCTGTCTACCGGGGGGGACTAAAAACACTCAGCTTGGGACCTCCCTTGGGGCCCAGTGCCCCTCTGTCACATACTCCTGCCTGTCTGCTAGTGGTGATGAAAGCCCATAAGGAAGTGACAGCCAGCAGAAATGATGTGAGGAGGTGGGGAGATTTCCCGGTCCCTTCCCCATGTGGCGGAGTGTTCCTCAGACCCCATACGGAAGCAAAGCTAACATCCTCCTGGGTGCGTGGGGGCAGGAGCCCTGGAATGCCCACTGGGGAAGGACAGAGTGGTGGAAAGAAAGACTCCAAGAGCCCAGGAATCTAGAATTAAACCCTCAGTAGCCTGTGAGAATTATTGACAGCTAACCTGGAAACACAGTTTCCTGAGCACTTTGAATGGGTTGGGCACATGCTGAGCACACGCCAGCACATGCCAAGCACAAGCTAACACATGCTGAGCACATGCCAGGCACTTGTGGAAAGACGTTCACTCCTGGGGGTCAATCCCTTGCTCTACCCATAACAGAGCTGAAGAAACAGGCTTAGACAGGCCAAGACATGTGTTCTGGTCCTACTGTTCATGATGAGCAGTTCACTCCTGGGGGTCAATCCCTTGCTCTACCCATAACAGAGCTGAAGAAACTGAGGCTTAGACAGGCCAAGACATGTGTTCTGGTCCTACTATTCATGATGAGCAAAGTCCAAGCAAATGGTTTACTCTACAGGAACTTCCAGGACCCCCTAAATCTTAAGGTCCCAGAGCCTTCAAGTCACAGAGTTCTCCTGGGTTAAAATACTAGACACATGGGTCTGGAGAGATGGCTCAGTGGTTAAGAGCACTGACTGCTTTTGCAGAGGACCCAGGTTCAATTCCCAGCACCCACATGGTGGCTATGAACCATCCTTAACTCCAGTTCCAGGGGAATCCGAAGCCTTCTTCTGACCTCCGCGGGCATTGCACGACACGGGTGCACTCACATACATACAGGCAGTACACTCATACACGTAGAATAAAAATAATAAATATTTAAAAAAAAATACTCGACGTGTAGGGCCAGGTGCAGTGGAGAACGCCTGTCACAAAAGCACTTGGGAGGCTGAGGCACAAAATGTGTTTGAGGCCTGCTTGAGCTCAAAAAATAAAATTAGGCACCGTGGGCCTGTGGCCCCGCCACCTCCCTCGGGCAGGACAGTAGTCACCGTGCCCTGCAGATACTTGCTCACATGTTGCTGTGCACCTGGGCAGTCAGGAGACTCCATCAGTGCCCTCATGGGCCTAGCTTCTGGTCAGCACTTGGGGAGCTGTCTCTCGACTCTGATGGGTGCGGGTGCTCAGGGCCGTCGTGTCTACTTGTCCCCCTGCCAGTCTGTGTTCACCTTGGGTGCTGCGGCAGGGGGCCTCAGTGCCATGGTGCTCAGTGACCTCCTGGGCCGGAAGCTCAGCATCATGTTCTCAGCCGTCCCCTCGGCCGTCGGCTACGCGCTCATGGCTGGTGCCCAGGGCCTCTGGATGCTGCTGCTGGGGAGGATGCTGACTGGCTTTGCCGGAGGACTCACTGCTGCCTGCATCCCGGTAAGGTGGGATGTCCCTACTGCTGCTGGGCTGTGCTGGGCCACCGCTGATGGAGGCCCCCTTTAGGCCTTTGCTCGGTGAGAGCGTGTGGTCCCCTGGCACTGCCCAGGAAACCTCGACAGCTCCTGTCAGAGCAGCTGACATCAGTCCTCCCTGGAAACTTCCTACCCAGAGTGTTGACAGTCTGTTGCATTGCTCAACTGGAGAAAATCCTCATTGAGCAAGGGGTGTGAAGGGAAGTCCCTGCCCTGCCCTGCCCTGCCCTCCCCTAACTGCTTACCTCATGCACTCCCAGCCCCCTCCCGTTACACCCCTCCTCTGGCCAAGCCCAGAGAGGTGCAAGGGTGACTGAGGTGTTACATAGGTACCTGGTCAGACCCCAAAGTCTGGGTTCCCTGTGCTTGGTTGGATTCCAGCCTCATAGTGCCCCTGTCAAAGCTGAGTGCGTCTGCCTACTTACCAGCTTTGGAACATGAGGCCAGAGGGTCTGGAGTAAGGTGTGGTGGGAACAGGACTCCTGCCAACTTCCCCAGGTTCCCAGGCACCCCCTTCCCAAGGAAGCCCCAAGGGGACCATGTACCTTGCAGGTGTACGTGTCTGAGATCGCACCCCCTGGTGTTCGTGGTGCCTTGGGAGCCACACCACAACTCATGGCCGTGTTTGGATCCCTGTCCCTCTATGCCCTTGGTAAGTATCACCCTGCACCCCAGCACAAGGTTGTGGAGATAGACAGGGAATGGAACCATCCCTAAAGGCGGTATTCTGCCCTGTCTGTGCAGGGAGGCCTGTCCTTCGGCAGCCTCGGACCACTTTCCCATAGCAGAGAGCTGTGTCTAGTACCTTGTCAGCCCATGAGGGGAGTCCAAGCAGGAACGTGCCTGCCTGGGTGAGGGTGGTGGGGGCCCGAGGCCAAACGCCTCACAGGATCTCTGTCTAGTACCAGAACAGGGCCATATCTGGCCACTGGTGGCCTCCATTGCAGAGACTCAGGCAGTCTGGGGAGGGAGGCTAGGCTAGGCTGGGAGGAGTTGGGAAGAGTGAGAGGGCTCAGAGACCCCTGTCCCTCACACCCGGCCTCCTCTCCCTCAGGCCTTCTGCTGCCCTGGCGCTGGCTGGCCGTGGCTGGGGAGGGGCCTGTGCTCATCATGATCCTGCTGCTGAGCTTCATGCCCAACTCCCCTCGCTTCCTGCTCTCTCGTGGCCGGGATGATGAGGCGCTAAGGGCACTGAGCTGGCTGCGCTCAGACTCTGACATCCACTGGGAGTTCGAACAGATCCAGGAAAACGTGCAAAGACAGGTGTAGCAGGGGCGGGGCTGTTCCCTAGGCCACTCTGGGCCTGTTTGCTCTTCCTGAAACGGGTGATGCCGGCTAGTGTCCAGGGGGTTTGCAGAGCCCAGGGAGTCTTGGGTGGCTAGGTCTCTCTCACAGGAAGAAGGGAGTCGTCTCCCTGAGCCCCTACAGGTCCCAGGACAGAGTGGCTGATGCTGGAGAGCCTGGTACAGCCCCTCAGTGGCAGCCTTGTGTTCCAGAGCAGCCGAGTGTCATGGGCAGAGGTCCGGGACCCCCATGTATTCCGGCCCATCCTCATCGCCGTGCTGATGCGCTTCCTGCAGCAGCTGACAGGCATCACGCCCATCCTCGTGTACCTGCAGACCATCTTTGACAGCACATCCGTGGTGTTGGTGAGAGTCCCCTCTCCCCGCAGCAGGACTTCCCTCCGAGTCCCATGAGGCTGCTGGGGAGAATGCAGGCTGGGCAGCAGGGAGCTAGCTGGCTGATACTGGGGACACCGATCCCAGACCCTGAGCCCCGCTCTGGTGGGAAGCTAAGGCCCCGGGTCAGATCTCGGAGGGTGCCAGCTTCTGAGCTATGCCCATTCTCAGTGTTGTTTTCTTCGGTGACACTTGAGTATTTCAAAATAAATTATGCAGAATAACAGGAAAACAAATATAATAGAAATTTAGAGCTCTTGGGACTGTGGCCTTAGGTTCAGATCCTGAGTGGGAACTGTGAGAGCAAGTACCCTGAGTCCCAGACTCTGTGTGCAATGAGGTTTGAAGATAAGAGCATAGTCCTACCATCTCTGTCCAGTGAGGATCTGAGCCTAGTGGTGGGCACAGGAGATGTGCCCCTGCCGGGAAGCCCCACAAACAAGGGCGGGGTGCAGAGAGGAAGTGCCCAGCACATGTGGTTCACAGCTGCATAGGAGCAGTGGTCCTGGCTTCAGGCCTGAGTGCCTTGGGATGGAGGTGGGACATGGAAGTGGGTCTCTCAGCCCAGTGCTCTGCCCCACAGCCCTCCCAGCAGGATGCAGCCATTGTGGGCGCTGTGAGGCTCCTGTCTGTGCTGATTGCTGCCGTCACCATGGACCTGGCGGGCCGGAAGGTTCTGCTGTATGTGTCAGGTGAGCATCCCTGCTCTGCTGTACTGTGTTCCTTGAGCCACTGTGTGCTGCAACGTCTGGGCCACACCCAGGACATTGCCCAGGACCTAACTGATGGCAGCTAGGACAGGTCTGCTGGAGTACTGAGAGTGAAGGAGCTGATCCGCCCAGCGTGGGGCTTAGCCCCGGCTGGAGAGCCTGGGCTTGCCATCCTGTGGTGTCGGGAGGGGAGTTGTCTCTGTTGCAGGGTAGCCTTGCCACCCGGCAAGGGGTGCTGTGGGGCTTGGAAGGGGCCTCTAAGGAACATCAGTTCACAGGGTCCTGGCCCTGGGGGCCACCTTCGTGTCCCCAGCTTCCATCATGTTTGTGGCCAACCTGACACTGGGGCTGTACGTCCACTTTGACTCGAAGACCCCGACCCCCAACAGCACCGTGGGCCTGGAGGTCTTGCCCATGGTGGGCACAGAGCAGCCTCTGGACACAGCTTTCAACTACCTCACCCTGATACCTCTGCTGGCCACCATGCTTTTCATCATGGGTAGGAGGAGCAGGGTGCCTGGGGGTGGGGTGCCTGGGTGCTGTCCTCTTGCTGTCCTGGTTTGCCTGGTAGGTGGGGGAGCACAGGGCTTCCTTACAGCCCCAGAGACACAAAGTGACCCTGAGGGTGCCCAGGGCCTGAGCCCACCCACTCCCCTCTTCTGGACAGGCTATGCCATGGGCTGGGGGCCCATCACCTGGCTCCTCATGTCTGAGGTCCTGCCCCTGCGTGCCCGAGGTGTGGCCTCAGGCCTCTGCGTGCTGGTCAGCTGGCTCACTGCCTTCGTCCTCACAATGTACTTCCTGCAGGCAGTGGTGAGTAAGTGGTCCCCCAGCCAGGCTTTCTCCATTAGGTAGTCTACCTTCAGAGACCCCAGGAGAAGAGCACATGGCCCTACATAGGCTGAGAACAGCCAAGTGACAGCACAGCCAAGGTATTATAAGAAACTGCAACAAGCCAGGTCACTTCCCAGTATGCCCTGCTTGGCTGTACTGGTTGGTCTCTTACTCTGCTGGGCCTCAGTGTAACCCGGCTGCACCTGCTCAATGTGGTTTGAGTGTACCCCATACACACCCAGATCCCAGCCCTGCAAACCAATGGCTCAGGAAACACCTGACTCCCAGACTCTACTGGGGGAACCTGGCTGGAGCAGCACAAGCCAGTGGTGAATGTGAAGGGCAGGTGTAACCCACTGCCCACCAGGCCCTCAGGAGGCTTAGAGCTTGGGTGTGGAGGGGTGTCTGAGAGACCTAGCCCCCAAGATGGCTGCAGGGCAGCCTGGGCGATCTCAGAGCAGGGCAGTGGCCAGATGAAGGCCCCACAGACTGGCCAATACTAGCTGAGCTGATGAAGGCTGGGCTGGGGCTGCTGCTCCCCAGTGACCCCCTCCCTAACTCCCCACCACAGAACACCTTCGGCCTCCAGGTGCCTTTCTTCTTCTTTGCGGCCATCTGCCTGCTCAGCCTGCTGTTCACGGGCTGCTGTGTGCCTGAGACCAAGGGCCGCTCACTGGAGCAGATCGAGGCCTTCTTCCACACCGGCAGGAGGTCCTTCAGGCACTAGTCAGGGCCTGCCTGTGAGGGGCCAGACCCTCAGTGCTGGCCACAAACACACCCACAACCAGGAGCAGCAGTAGCCATCAGCCCCGCTATCAGCCAAGCACAGGACCAGCCAGAACGAGCTTGTACCTCAGGACAGGCAGTTCACCTATCGGGCTGTAAAGCCCTAGCCCCAGCCCAGGCAGCCTGCAGTGCTGTACACCCTTCTGAGAGCCACAGGGGGAACAGGTGGCCCAGACCCCAGGAGAGCACAGGTGTGTGCAAGGACAAGGCCCTGTTAGGGGACCTGGGGCCTAGTTCCTCACTCATGTAAGGGACCCTTCCCAGAGAACAGGGCTGGAGGCGGCAAAGTGGTTCTGCACAGGGGCATCATTGTGTCATCCTGTTCTGATCACTTGGCCATGGTGAGCACAGGCCCACAAAGATCTGTGCACTTTGGGGACTACTGTGGACTTCCAAAGGCTCAGGACCTGGTGGAGCCCCTTCCTCTACCCCAGCCCAACCATGGGATGGCTCTAGTCTGAAAACTGTGTTCACTGCTTATAAAAATAAAGACATTGGGCTTGCAGCCCCAGGGAGGAAGGAGTGGGATCTGCTGCAGGGGGATGCTCCCCACCCCATCAGCCAGGCCACAACCAAGCTCAGCCCGGACTGCCAGGGCATTCTGGCCTTACCTACAGTACAACACAGAAGGCAGGAGCCACTGCAGGGCTGACTGCCAGCCCGTCTTTCTCAGGCAAGCTACCTTCCCTGTTTGAGATCCTGTGAGCAGGTTCAGGCTTGGCCTGGTTGGCAGGGCCAAGGCTCCCTGCTGTGGCTACAGGCGCTGCGAGCAGAAGAAGAATGCACATACCAACTACAGCTCTGCTTTACTCCAAGGGCAAGCTAACTGTCAGGCAACAGGTGGGCAGAGGGGGCCTCAGAAGACAGCCAGACACAGGCCAGAGTAGGGCCTGGCCTGGGCTGGACGGTGCTCATGCTGAGAGGCAAGTTGAAGGGCTCCAGACCTACTATGCCACAGACCTGCTGGGAACCTCAGCCCAAGTGTCCATCCTACTCTGGCCTGTGTCCAAGGGCCTCTACCTCCACCTCCCACCCTATGTCTGCCCAGACTTCCCAAGTGGGGTGTGACCTTTCTGGACATGGCCAGTTTCTCCTTCTCTTGTGCCTGCAGGAGGCGGCCCACTGCCAGAGGCAGGAGGCCTGGGCAGAAGTGACCCCTAGGTCGCATGCTTGCACAAGTGACCAGAGGAGCTGGTGGGGCCCTTGCTCCTCCTGGGAGGTAGACAGGTCTTACTGCACACGCACGCACACACAACCCTTTCAGCCCAGCACTGGCCTGAGGAAGACGGCCCCAGAGGAACCCTGAAGGCACATGTTCTGCCAAGCCAGCTACACTGCGACATCTCTGCTACTCAGCCTGGCCAGGTTTCCTGGAGGGCTGCTGCTCTCGAGAGCCCATAGATCAATGAGCCACCATCCCAACCTGAATACCCACTAAGGTCTCCTGGGAGTCAGACTTGGGTGTGGCCCCAGGGCTGGGCTCCATGGAGCAGGCCCACCTGAGGGTGTAGAGTAGGAAGCTGGGCTATCTTCCTCAGCCCCATCCAGGCTCAGCCGGGCCCACCAGACCTGAGTCTAAGGGCCAAGGACCCATCTAATCAACCTCTGGTGCCAAGGTCACAGAACAGGAAAAGACAGTGGTGCAGAGGAAGGAGGGGAGCAGCCAGGGCATGTCCAGTGGGGCCACATCCTGGGTAGCAGTTCCCCATGCCACAGCCATGCAGGCTTACTCATGCCTGACACCTTGGGGCAGTGGGCTATCTCTGGAGGAGGTGGCTGTGGCCTCTGCCCGGCTCTCCAAAGGCCGCAGGCACCCAGGGACAGGTTGGGAAGAACACCTGAGTTGGGTCAAGTCCAACCCATGGTACTGAGGAGCCAGTCCTCACTGACACAGGGAGGACTTCACCAGAAACAGATGAGAACCTCCCCTACCACTTCTCTAGCACCAAAGCCTGAGCTGGGGGAGGGACAGACAGTGGGGTTTGGGGTGAGGCCCATGAGAGATGGAACTGTGGGAGTGTGCTGAAGTAACTTGGCCCAGGCATCACTCAGTCCTCTGGCCACTGCCAAGGCTGCTCTGACCAGGAGGCTGAATCCTGGTACACTGTGGAGTGGCCACTTTCCCTGGGGTGCTCTGCTCCTCCTCTGTTGGGGACAGGTGCATGAGGCAGAACTAGAATCTTCCCCCCCCCCCCCCCGAAAACGGGGGGGAGGATTCCCCCACCCCTTA